GCGCGAGAGCGACCGAGAGAGTGTGTGTGGGACAGAGAGAGACACAGAGAGCGTGAGGGTCAGACACTGAGACGGAAAGAGACTGTGCGTGAGACACAGAGAGAGTGAGAGACAAAGACTGAGAGATACTGTATGTGAGAGACACACAGACAGACAGAGAGAGAGAGAGAGTGAGCTGGAGGCTGAGAAAGTAACTGAGACAGAGACACGGAGACGGAACGTGTGTGACCCTCCTCCCCACGCAGCCGCTTTGAATCAGGTTCCAACAAAAACAACTTGCGTTTCCACAGCGTCCTTCACGTAGGGCGGCGTCTCAGGGCGCTTAACCGTGGCGGAGCTTGACGCTGAGCTGAGGGGTGGAGGAGGTGACCGTAACCTCGGAAGGTTTTCAGGTGTTATCTGAAGACGGGTAAAGAGGAGGCAAAGTGGAGGGACCGAGGCAGAGTCTGACAGAGTTTCAGGACGTCGCGGCTAAAAGCACGACTCTGTGCTGAGTGGACGATCTCTGTATCTGTGCTGACAATTGGTCTCCGCGCCCACTCTGCTCCGAAACTCAGGAGAAACCGCTGGAAGTAATAATAATTTGCTCACTCAATCCACGGCTGTTGGTGGGACGTCGCGGTGTGCAATTTCCCTTCCGCAGTTTCGCCCACAAAATACAGTCACTACACTTTACAGAGTGTATCTTTTGAAGAGCTTTGAGACGTCTCGAAGACGTGATCAGGCGCTGTATCAAATGCAAAGATTAATTATTATTATTATTACAAACAGACGGTGACACGGGGGAGGAGAGAGTGCAAGAGGTTGGGAGAGATGTGAGAGACTCGCACTCCGTGTGAGAGAGATTTATGATTTACAGCGAAAGAAATGGACTCACAGAGACACACAAAGAAGCAGAGATATAAGAGCATCAAACACTCACTCACACTCCACTCACTCACACTCACTCACTCACTCGCTTACTCCGCACCGCCTCCTCTCACAGGTAAAGTGCGCCCCCCAGTGGCACTCTCTAGACTGACAACCTGCGGATGGTAAAGTCAGACAGACTCTCATGGACCGTATCTCTCACATCCTGAGACGAGATGTTACCATAGAAACAAAACACTCCTGGACACCAAATACCCAGAAATCTGATCGCCCCCCACACTCCCACCGCACATAATCCCTCCCCGAACCTTTGGATTAGGTTCCAACAACAACAACTTGCATTTACCCAGCGCCCTTCACCCGAGGTAGAGTCTCAGAGCGCTTAACAGTGGTGGATCCTGACACTGAGCCGGAGGAGAGGGGTGTGGGGGGGGTGGGGGTGGTGACTGGAGGCACAGGCAAACAGGTCTTCAGGCGTGTTCTGAATACAAGTAAACAGGAGGCAAGACGGAGGGATTAGGGCAGAGAGCGAGAGTTTCAGGCGTAGCAGCTAAAGGCATGGCCGCCAATGGTGGGCAAAGGATGAGCAGGAGCCAAAGGAGCAGGTAGAGAGATGGGTCTGAGCGGGGCTGGGGTAAGCTTGATGGGACCCAGAGCTATTATAGTTTGGGGGCTCCTCATTTCATTGCCTTCCCTTTACTGTTTCACCACCACCCCATTCCCGCAGCGACGCCAAACACTCCATTGTTAATTGTAAATGATGGAGTCCTGTAGCTCAGTGGTTAGAGCACTCGCCTCACAAGCGCGAGGAACCGCGTTCAGTTTGTTAGTTGTTAGTTGATTGGTGGATTGCTTTTCCAGGGGTAATAATCCCTTCAAAAAAAATAATAATTGGGTCACTCAATCCATGACTGTGTGTGGGACGCTGCTGTGTGCAATTGACTGCCGTGTTTTGCCCACAAAATATAGTCAATTAATTCATTTTACAGTACATTCTGTGAAGCTTTGAGACGTCTCAAAGACAGGATGAGACACTATATTAAATGCCAGGATTATTATTATCATCGCGATTCCCTCTTTTTTTGGCCCCTCAATATCCGGGGCCCTGAGCTGCAGCCCCTGGGTGGGTGTGGGCAGGTCGGAGAGAGAGGCCACAAGATGTCCGGGTTTATGTGTAACTGTCAGGATCTGGAAAACGATCCATTCTGCCAGAGTAAGTCAGGGGAGCCTGGCGAGGACCGGGGCAATGGGGGAGCGGAGTTTGGATCGTTGGATTGTGTGGGCAGCGGAGCTGAGGAGACCCGTGAGGAGGGTGATGGGAAACATTAAGGCAGGAGATAATGAATGTGTGAATAAGGATTTAGCTCCGACAGGTGTGAGGTGTGTAACTCACTCTTGGGGTTTATATATGACCCCCCAACCATGGATTACATTCCAACCAATGACTTTGATCCCAGGTCTGTAATTTGCCTGTCTTCAAATCACAGCTAAAGGCTTTCCTCTTCAACAGCAGCTTCAGCCACCCCCCCCCCGATCTTTCCAGCTCAGCATCAACCCCCCCCTCCCGCTGCTGCTTAGCGCTCCGAGACACTGCCCACATGAAGGGCGCTGTGTAAATGCAAGTTTTATAGACTGGAAAAAGTGAGCAGCAGTAGAGCTGCAGTGAGGAGTCTGGTCGGCAAAGGGCAGTGCAGCTCAGAATCATGTGGAATGTGGATAATTCACTAAAAACATCTAGAAATTCAGAACATAACTCACTCAACACATTAAGGTGTATAGTACCTTTCACATCAGGAGGATGTCCCAAGGCAATAGACAGTCTAGGAAGGGTCTGTCTTGCAGACGGTGTTACTGACCTCAGCCACAGCCACACGACCCTCATCCTCCTGTACTGTTACACTCTGCGTCTCCCTGGACATATCGGGCTGGGAGTTAACATCCATTATAACAGGGTAACAGGGCTACTGTGCACACGTACAGCCCAGACCCTGATAGCCACACTACTTGGAATCAGTCCCAGTGCAGATATGAAGAGTGAAGGTGTCAGGTCATCACTGAGAGTAACACTAACCTGTAATACAGCAAAGTGCCAGCTCCAACCATACCCCCCCCCACCCCACACACTATTGTGTCTGTCTGACTGAGTCTGTGCTGTAGTGTCTGTGCGCGCTGCGTGTCTGCGGCTGTGTCTAGGCCCGTGCCTGCGCTGTGTCTAGGCCCGTGCCTGCGCTGTGTCTAGGCCCGTGCCTGCGCTGTGTCTAGGCCTGGGTCTGCGCTGTGTCTAGGCCTGTGTCTGCGCTGTGTCTAGGCCCGTGTCTGCGCTGTGTCTAAGCCCGTGTCTGCGCTGTGTGTGCGCAGGGTGAGAAATGAAGATTCAGACCAGACGCACATTAGAAAATTTATGGGTTTTGGCAGATCCGTATTTGCAGAAGGCCAGCGACCGCTGGCCAGTCCCTATTTATAATATTTAAATACAATACGTACAGATTATACATCGCATCATCCAGAGGACATTTACAAGGTTCAGTGTTCAAAAGCCAGAAAGCGCTTGGGCTTGGCGGGTACAACCGGCAAGTGAGGGGTTAATTCCGCCAACAGCCCATCTTCACAGGTCGTGTAATGCTGGGAGGGTCGAGAGCAGGTCCTACCCCCACGAGGTTAGTGATATGGTCAAAAGGTTGTATTAAAAAGGCAAGTTTAAGGCTTCAATGAAGCAGACAGACAGCCCCCACCCACCCACCACCACCAGAGTGGGGTAAACCGTTTCACACCCTCCTCTCCATATCCATCAACTCACGTGAGCAACGGGTGGGGGGGGGGGGGGCAGGGGAGAAGGACAGGACAAGACCCCCCCCCCCAACTCCCAGGTAATGGGTCAACAAATCAGCTCCAGATTGGGACAGTTTTCGTGCTGTGAGCCTCACAAGGAACTGGGATACGTGTAGGTGTGTGTACACCTGCACAATGGGGGAGGGAGGGTGCGATCCAGGAGCGAGGGGCAGTGATGGGGGGGTAATGGGAGGGGGCCTGGGGTGGGCGGGGGTTCTGTGTGGTTTCCTATCCCGGGTAGGTTAGTCTACACTGCGACTCTTGGGGTAATTATGGCAGGAGGTCGGACATCGTAAACAAACTGACGAGTTGCAAATGGCCTGTCCCCCACGTGATTAAAAACACACACACACCCCAACATAGTCACTCACGTGCACAAGCTCTCACACACACACACCCCAACATAGTCACTCACGTGCACAAGCTCTCACACACACACACCCCAACATAGTCACTCACGTGCACAAGCTCTCACACACACACACCCCAACATAGTCACTCACGTGCACAAGCTCTCACACACATGCCCAACATACAGTCACTCACGTGCGCGAGCTCTCACACACATGCCCAACATACAGTCACTCACGTGCACAAGCTCTCACACACACACACCCATAGTCACTCACGTGCACAAGCTCTCACACACACACACCCAAACATAGTCACTCACGTGCACAAGCTCTCACACACATGCCCAACATACAGTCACTCACGTGCGCGAGCTCTCTCTCACACACACCGCCCCCCCAACATAGTCACTCACGTGCACAAGCTCTCTCTCTCTCACACACCGCCCCCCCACGTACACTCACTCACGTGCGCAAGCTCTCTCACACACGCCCCAACATACTCTCACGTGCGTAAGCTCTCACACACACACATCCCAACATACACTTACTCACATGCACACGCTCTCACAGACACACACATACTTACCACATACGCTCACATGCACCGTAATTGTGTCAGATAATAATTCAGATGGGGGGGGCGAGGGGCCGGCCCGAGGGTGGGGTGGGCGAGGGGCCGGCCGAGGTGGGGGGCGAGGGGCCGGCCTGAGGGTGGGGGGGGGGGCGAGGGGCTGGCCTGAGGGTGGGGGGGGGCGAGCGGCCGGCCCGAGGATGGGGGGGCGAGGGTGCCGGCCCGAGGGTGGGGGGGGGCGAGGGCTGGCCTGAGGGTGGTGGGGGGGGGGGGGCGAGGGGCTGGCCTGAGGGTGGGGGGCGAGGGGCCGGCCTGAGGGTGGAAGGCATCGGGGGGGAGGCTGGGCTCGAGGGGGAGGGTGGGCAAGGCCGAGGAGGCGGGGGGGGGGCTCGAAGGGGTGGTGGTGTCCCGTGGGAGAGGCCCGAGGGAAAGGCCAAAGGGGAGGGGTAATTGAGGTTAACAGCTCCAAGGTCACAGCGTATCAGTCAACTCAAACACAGGTCAGTGTGAAGTGTTGGTGCAAGTTCGGAGAGTGTGGGCGGGTGGGGGGGACTGGGGGGGTGTATGTCCGTGCCCACTAGGGGGTAGGAGTTTGGAGGATGAAGGGGTGGTGAAGGAGGGGGTGGGGGGGAAATTAAAATAAAGAATTAATGTTAATTAAGTGCAATTATTCTACAGAATTCCGCCCCCCACCACACACACAGAGACCCCCTCCCCACGGACAGGTAGTGATGTGTGTGCAATATTAGCGGACGGAAAAAGAAAAAGAGGCGGGGGGGGGGGGGCAATCAGGTCAAGCTTTGTCCATATTGTGCTGGGTTGGCAGCAGATCCCAGCATTGCCCACCTTCCCCCATCCCATGGGCCTCAAGTTGCAAAGGGGCGCTTTCCCCCCTCATGTGTAAGCTGGGGCGGGACATTTCCCCCCTGCTGTAGTGTCAGGTGGGGTCTTGGGTGGGTCGTTTCCCCAACCCCCACTGCTAGGTGTCGCTACCACCAGGTGAAGAAGGGCTTCCTGCTCTGGAAGCTCTGTGTGTAGGACTCGCTGCTGCGGGGGTGGGTCCGGGTGGTCTCCACGATGACCGGGGGGATCTGGACCAGCAGCAGTGGCGACTTGCCGTCCTTCAGCGCCTGCATCAGGTTCAGGATCTGTGGCGTGGGGGGAGGGAGAGAGGAAAAGTGTAACAATCCTCACAATCTACACAGCTCTCCCTCCCGACCATCAAAACATCGCAAATAATACATCTAACAATAGTGATAATCCTTGATACAGCGCCTTATCACGGCGTCAAGACGTCTCAAGTGAACTGTCTGTGTATTTTTGGGGCAAAACACGGCAGCCAATTGCACACAATAGTGCCCACAAACAGTCATGGATTGAGCGACCAATTTTATCTTAGGGGGGGTGGGGGGAAGAGACCCGCTTCCCTCTTCCAATACTGTAGAGCCGCGGGATCTTTAACAACCACCTGAACAGGCAGACGGCCCTCGGTTTAACATCTCATCCTGAAGGACGGTGTCTTTTGTGATTGTTTGTGTAACTGAGGATGTGTGTGTGTGTGTGTGTGGGGGGGGGGGGGGAGAGAGAGAGTGTGAGAGGACGAGGACACAATGATTACTGATCCCTCCTGGGCGGAGTTCGGGGGGGGGGGGGGGGGGTGTAAAATAGACACCCGGTTGCTCACCCCACAGCCTCTCACTATTAGATGCTGAGTTGGGGACAGAGAGGGGAAGGAGTTTCCCTCACGTCCAATGACAGGGCAGAAAGGTGACGGGGGGAGAGGGGGTTCTTTCCAGACAAACCAGTTAGTCAGTAAACCTCAGTAAACTCTCCGCCCAGAAACGCAAAGCGGGAGATTCGTTTCCAGCAGCTCACCTGTCCTCTCATCACCGAGATCTGTTTGTAGAACTGTCCCCGGTCAAACCCTGGGTCTTTCTGCAACAGGGAAATAATAATAATAATCCTTGCATTTGATATAGCACTTTATATAAACTCCTGTAGCTCAGTGGGTAGAGCGCATGTCTTGCAAGTGAGAGACCTGGGTGCGATTCCCGGCCGGGTGAAACCTTGGGCAAGTTTCCTTACTCCACACGCCTGATAATAATCCCTCAAGAAAAAAAAATAAAAATGATCACTTCAATCCACGACTGTCTGTGGGACGCTGCTGTGCGCAATTGGCTGCTGCGTTTTGCCCACAAATATACAGTCAATTCACTTTACAATCTATTCTGTGAAGCGCTTTGACTCTTAAAAGATGTGAAAAGCGATCTATCAAATACAAGGATTATTATTATCACCACATCTTTGAGACGTCTCAAAGCGCTTCACAGGATACACTGTAAATTGCAGTGGCTGTGTATTGTGTGGGCGAAGCACGGCAGCTAATTGCACAGCGGTGTCCCACAAACAGTCGTGGATTGAGTGATCAAATTACTATTTATTTGTTTACTTGAAGGGATTATTACCCCAACAAAGCGATCCGCCCATCGACCAACAACCATGTTCCTACTTTCTGCGAGGTAAGCAGGGGCGGGCATGGAGTAAGGAATAACGTTCCTGCCCAGAATCAAACCCAGGTCCTCTCACTTGCGAGGCAAGTGCTGTAAGCCCGCTCCAGTCATTAAATTCTGGGTAAAGAAACATCCTGCTGCCATTCACACTCTCTTGCTCCCCCCTCTTTCCCCGTCTCTCTATGCCCCTTCTCTCCCCTCCACCCCACACCCCCTCTCACCTTAAACAGCTCGTAAAGATCTTCCTCCAAATCCCTGACGAAGTTGGGGTCTGAGATCTTGGGAAGAATCAGGTCTTTGATCTCCTGAGAGAAAGGCACCTTCGCCTGAGACAGCCAGGCCCAGTAAAAAGGGTCTGAAACAGCAACAACAACAAATTACATCTACACCACAGCACCTTTCACAATGGGAGGACGGCTGGGGCTACAATTGGTGAGGAGAAGGAGGGAAAGTAAATACCCAAACGACTTGCTTACCGCTCCTGGTCATTGCTGGCAGGTGGGTGTGTACTCTACACCCGTGTGTATTTACATGCACGCAACACGTGTGCTTACACGTGGATTAATGACTTGTGGGGGAGAGTGAGCGCAGGGGAGGGCAGAGGGTGCGAGGTTCACAGCTGAGGGGGCGGGAAAAGAGAACAGAAACTCTCCGCGCACACGCTTGAGCTGTCTCCTCCGCTCAGTCAGAGCCTCTGCACCTCCCACTCCTCCTCCCACCCCAAACCCCGGGGCTAATGTTAATTCTAGGCTGTGTGACATCAATCAGCCACGAGATGAAATGGAATTAATCTTAAATATCAGCACATCACGAGGACATTGTGAGAGATTTACCAGCTGTGGCGGCCTCCCTCTGTGCTGTAAGATTCTATGACACCAGGAGAGAGAAACCCCTGTCTCTAATGGAGTTGTTTTTTGGAGAGATTATTACCGGAAAACGATCCGGGTTCCTACTTACTGCCGGTAAACAGAGGCGTGTGGAGTAAGGAAACGTGCCCAGCGTTTCACCCAGCCGTGTCCTCTAACCACTGAGCTACAGGTCTCCGCACTGAGGAACAGGAGTTACTCACACGCTCGCCAGGAGTCGGGGTGCTTGAGGGGGAACGCCAAGCCGTTGTCAATAGCAGCAATCTTTACAATCGGTTCCTTCACCATAACCCAGTCACTGTCCTGCGGGGAGAGAGGGAGCTTAATACAGCAACTCCTGATAACTCGTCAAGTGTAGTGACTGTGTATTTTATAGGCGAACACGGCAGCCGGTCGCACACAGCCAAGATCCCACCAACAGCCATTAAAGTGAACCTTCTCATGCGGCAGATGGGAGCCCCCTCCAGCACTGCACTGCGAGCTCGGTGTCTGATGTCGGGCTTGAACCTGCTGCTGACTGTAAGTACGAGGCTGTTTTTAGACAATACCCACCCTTGCATTCGCGTTGTCCATGGGGCAGTCGTATTTGATCAGCCAGTTGTCGTTTCCCCGATCTGTGGAGACAGAATAATCCATACTGATAAAGACAAAATGTGTCTGTGTGTCTGTCTGTCAATAACCAATTGACGTAGAGACATGATTGATAGAAAGTTCTTGCATGGGAGAGTGTCATGGACAGCCAATTGTGCACAACAATTTCCTACAAGCAGCCATGGAGTGAGTGACCAATTTTATTTGGGGGAATGTTTGGCCAGGACACCGGGAGAGAGAGAAAAACTGCTTTCTCTTTTTGAACTTTGCCACAAGATCTTTAACGTCCACCTGAACAGGCGCAGACAGGACCTCAGTTTAACGTCTCATCCAAAGGACAGCACCTCTGACAATGCAACACATCCCCAGCATTGCACTGGAGCTTCAGCTTAGACTGTGATTCCAAGTCCCGATGTGGGGGCTTGAACCCACAACCTTCTGACTCAGAGACCAGAGAGAGCGCTACCACTGAGCCGGGCTGGCACACACCGGACCTGAGGTTCTGACCCGTGTCCCCGACCTGTGACGTTGACTGCTGACCTGTGTTCCTGATGATGTAATCCAGGATAACCAGCCTCTCAAACTGCAACTGAAGCTGTTGGTTGGTAGTGGGGGGCAATGGGTCCACCTCAAACCTCCGCAGCCAGAAATCAGCATCTTTGTAACCTTCCACAAACAGCTGGAAAGATCCCACCTGCAGGAGAGGAGAGCATCAGCTCACAGCGCTATCCGAGGGCTGCTTATAATAATAATCCTTGCATTTGATATAGTGTCTTATCACATTGTTGAGACGTCTCAAACACTTCATAGGACATACCGTAAAGCGAATATTTTGTGAGCGAAACGTGGCAGCCAGTTTGCATACAGCCGTGTCCCACAAACAACCATGGGAGTGAGTGACCAATTTTATTTGGGGGATGTTGGCCAGGACACCGGGAGATAGAAACTCCCTTCTATCTTTGAATAGCGCCATGAGATCTTTAACGTCCACCTGAACAGATGGTTTAGTGTCTCAAACGAAGGATGGAAACTCCGACAATTCAATATCCCCAGAATGGGGGATGGAACCCACAACCTTCTGACTCGAGAGGCGTGAGTGCTAACACTGAGCCAGGCTGACACGCTTTCCTTACCCACAGAAGGCAGAAGTCAGTTCAGTTTATACATTACAGAAAGGCTCACAATATCTCACTCCCCATCGTGTCTGTGCTGGGGATCGCTCCCCCACTGGAGCTCTCTACCCTAACCCCATTCCCTGCTCTCTCTCTCTCTCCCCATCATGTCTGTGCTGGGGCTCGCTCCCCCCCCACTGGAGCTCTCTACCCTAACCCCATTCCCTGCTCTCTCTCTCTCTCTCTCTCCCCATCGCGTCTGTGCTGGGGCTCACTTCAGACAAGGATGAGCAGTGAAATAACGGGATTAGTACATCGTGCTTCTTATAACAGTAACATAGGGAACGTGTCAGAAATGGCAGGAAAGGGTGTGAATTCCGCACCTTGAGAGGCAGTCCGATCCGGTGAAAACGCTGACCCACTTTCGGCACCTTTTCCAGAGCGAGTTTCTTCCCTCTGGATTTGACTCTGTCTATTGCACTGTAGTTAAACGTCTCACTGGCTAACTGCACCACCTGGAGAGAGAGAGAGAGTGCAATAGAAAGAACAAAAGAGAGATAGGCTGTGACGCACACAACCGCAGTGTGTAAAAGAGAGTCATAGAGCACAACAGTGAGGGAGAGAAACACAAGTGCAAGTAAGAGAGAAAGAGACAGACAGACAGAGAGAGAGAGAGAGAGAGAGAGAGAGAGAGAGATCCCCGGGACGGACAGAGAGAGGGAGAGAGAGAAGGCAGACTGAGAGAGGGGGGATCGGCCAAAGAGAGAAAGGGAGAAGGAGACAGACACACACACATGTTGGGAACAATGGCAGCCAGGTGTCTGGTACCTTTGTCCTGGGCACGATGTTGAGGCCCAGTTTCTGGTCTACGAGGCTGGCCCCAGCCTCAGACAGGTAGCCCTGGTTGAGCACCAGGCAGTCCCTCCCGAAGCAGCAGGGGCAGCACAGCTTCTGTAGCCACTTGGTCCATTTGGGGTTCAGATGTCCGTACGGCTCCTCACTCTTGGGTTTGAAAACCCCAATAATCTTCTGTGAGAGACAGAGAGACAGACAACAGTTTCAGTGTCGTTGGTACAGAAATATAGGGACAGGAGGAGGCCATTCAGCCCCTCGAGCCTGTTCCTCCAGTCTATAAGATCATGGCTAATCTGTACCTCAACTTCAATTAGCCTCCCTTGCCCCGTATTCCTCAATTCGCTGACCCAAATATCTCTCCACCTCAGTCTTGGAAATGTGAATGGATCAAGCACCCCCAGCCTTCTGGAGGGGTTTACACAGATACAACCCCCAACAGGGAATGATTTACAGAAAAAATAAAATTATGCAAAATTACCCCTTAATAATAATAATAATCCTCGCATTTGATATAGCGCTTTTCACGTCGGGAGGACGTCCCAAAGCGCTTCACAGAACACACTGTAAAGTGAATTGACTGTATATTTGTGGGCGAACGCGGCAGCCAATTGTGCACAGCAATGTCCCACAAACAGTCGTAGATTGAAAATGACCAATTTATTATTGTTTGGGGTTTTGGAGGGATTATTTTCACTGGATCCCACTAATGTAGCCTCTTTAGAGAGATACAGAGGCCAGTTTTCATGAATTTAACTGTTTATCTGCAGCCTCTCTGCCCCCACCCTCTGGAACGCCATCCTGGAGCCCCTCCGCCTCGCCCCTTCCATTGCCTCCTACAAAGCCCAACTCAACCGTTCCCCTTTGACCGAGGTTTCAGTCACTCGCCCACCCCCACCCTCGGGAGTGGGAGGCAGTTGGACAAAAAAATGTGGTCACTCAATCCACGACTGTTTGTGGGACATTGCTGTGCAATTGGCTGCCGCATTTCACCCACAAATTACACAATCACTGCGCTTTACAGTCCCTTCCCCTTCGCTTCCTCCCTCGCCTCCTTCAAGGCCGGTCTCAAGACCCTTCTCTTCGATCGTGCCGTTGGTCGCCCTCCCACTTCTCTGCCTTCCCTCACTCCTTCACCACCCCTCCCCCATACACGGGCCCCGACACCTGACTGTTCAGCGCTTTGGGACCTCCTCTCGACGTGAAAGGCGCTCTATAAATGTAATTTTGTTGTATATTCTGTGAGGCACTTTGAGACATGTGTGTGTTGTGTGTGTCTGTCTCCCTCTCCCTTCCTTTAAGATAAAGCAGCATATCAAATGCAGGGATTATTAGTAATATTATATTATTATGCAACAGCACGAGCCTACACATAGTGAAGCACATTATGCTGGGAATGACGTGGCGTGTAATTGGGATATAAACAGCGTGTCCCTGGGCTCAATGCTTCTGCTGTGTGTTGTTTACTTCCACGACCTGGACCCAGCACTTTGCACTTGCACGGAGTGTCTTATACACACACATCAGACAGAATTCCACCACTGAGCGCTCACAGTTGGTCTTCACTACACAAGAAGCACTCTGCGCGGTGTGAGAATCCCACACAGGGAATCACCCACCAGCCACGCCCCCTCATGAAGGGTAGCGTCCCAGAGAGCTTATTCTCCCCCCCAACCTCACCAATACCCCTCACCCCCTCCCATCTAGAGTCAGCTGTTGCTTGTGTGTCACTGGGATCTTGACCCTCACTTGCTGCAGTGTCCACACAACCAACAGAGAACAGTGACAGGGACAGGTTTGTGCTTCTCAGGGTAACTTCAGCAAGTTAGAGTAAAGAGCGGAGAGCAATCCTTTCACAATCCTCATGGCTCAGTGCATGTCCCAACTGCTCTATTGGGAAGATGCTTTAGCAATTCATTTCTACATTAATTTACCTTTCAAAAAACTATGACTGCTAAACTTGAAATATAGACTGACGCAAAACAAATATTCTGAATATTCTCAATTGCACATCCTACTTATAAGAACATAAGAATTTGCGGGTGAAAGAAGACCAAGGTCCATCCAGTTTGCATTCCACCATCCTGGCAGTCGCTTGACATGTTGTGTCCCAAACTATATACTGTATCCCCAGATATTATTTCCTAACAGAAATTAATTAGTGCTTGAAAGAATCAACACTTTCTGCTTCCATACGGTTACTATTTACTTAGTAAATATTTATTCACTGTTTACTTAGCTCATGTGGAGAAAATCCTGAGCACAGACTGGATGGCCCAATTACCTTCTCTCTGTGCTAGAACTGTCTAAATCATTCAACATGTGGGAAGATGATTCATGGCCTGATTAATGTCTGTACGTCTACAAACACATCACACAGATTCTGCCTCTCTCTGAGAGCTTCTCATTCTAAGCACCATCCTGAGCTGCTGTGGTAGCGGCTGATTCAATACAATGGATGGTGAACAGGTGTGTGTGAGAGGTTGGAAGCACAGCCTGTGTGTCTCATTCCTCACAAGCTTGGTATCAATCTCGGCTCAGTCATAGGCAGGGAGGGTGGACAGGAGGTTTAAGTAGATTGTACAGCACGGAAACAGGCCATTCAGCCACCTCCATAATATTCATTGCATTTCTGGTTAAGCTCAGACTGTATAGCATTTTGAGGCGTAGCTTTTACGTGAATGTCAAAAGAAGCTGTTATATCACCTCCACCAGGAAACTCTGGTCCTCCTGCGTCAGGCGGCTGTATGTCACCAGCATGCTCTGCAACATCTTCCACACCAGGTGTCTTTGCTCTGTGTCCTGTGGCCGCAGCCTGGAAACACAAGGATACGGGACAACAGCACGTCAGATCTGAAGCTTGGTGCACACGGCCACAAGAAACAAAGAAAGCGTACAATGGGAACCTGGGAGTGAGTGAAGGCTAATCTACCTGTCTACCTGGCAAGGTTTGGCTGTGTCACAGATCCCAATTCTGATTAAATAATAAATAGTCATTTCTCCGCATTTTCTGCCTCTTTTGACACCTGAAACAATCCCTAACTCAGGATAGTTTATGCCACTCCTGAATTGGCTGCTGGAGGGTACCACTTGTTCCATGGGCCGAATGGCCTCCTTCTCCTTCGCCTCTCCCATAAAAATCTCGGTGACTATAAACACATGAAATCATCGAGTGTGAAATTGAGCTCTGGCACAAAATACACCACCATATTGTTTAGAGAGACATCGCAGTGTTACATACTCTTTCTTCAGGAGGCTGGCATCCAGAGTCACCAGGCCAAAATGCAGGTCAATAATTTTCTTCAGCACAAATATCTTGCGTCTCAGATCATCCTCGTTCTCTGAGCCATCGCCGTTCACTGCTATGTACGTGCACTCTGCAAACTGAGAGCAGGGACAAAGGTCCCAGAGAGTCAGGTTGAACACAGGAAGAACTTTAGAAGCCTGAACAAACCTGAAACAATTAACAGCGGAATCACTGATACTCAACCTCACCACCAACCAACCCATTCAAAATGGATACCCACAGCTTGCAATACATTGTGTATCTTCCACCTCTAAATACTCACATTGGTAAGAATTGCAATGTGTGATGTGTTCATTAATGTTTGAAAACTGCCACATTAATGGCTGAGGACATTGACTAGTATGCAGGTGTGACCTCCTACACCCCTCACTCCGTTACATTGGTTGGACCCCAAGTCAATACTTTACTTCAGGCCTAAGCATTATGAATGAAGGGTGAGGGGGGGGAAATAACTGGACACCAGTTGATATCTTCAGTTATCAACAGGGCAGAATTTTCACCTGCGTGTTCGCTAACACCATCACAGATTGCAAATGTCACCCCGAGGTAGTTAATACTTACAGTCACAGACACAGGTTTGAGTTGCTTACCTGATGCAGGACAAAGAGGTGCTGGTTCTCACTGACGAAGGACGTGTAAGTGTCCGAGAGCTTCTCGTTCAGAGTAATACAGGAAATGAGAAGTGGAGCAAAGAGTGTGTTGATGCTGTCCTCAGTAGCTGGCACCTGTACACAGAGAGCATGAAATAAAAAGAATAATCCTTGCATTTGATATAGAGCCCTATCACGTCATCGAGACATCTCAAAGCACTTCACAGAATATACTGTGTATTTCGTGGGAAAAGCTCAGCAGCACAATTGCACACAGCGGTGTCCCACAAACAGCCATGGAGTGGAGTGACCAATTTTACTTGCGGAATTTTTGACCAGGACACCGGGAGACAGAAACTCCCTTCCCACATGGGAAATCTCAGCTTGGTTTGGAGACTCTTACAACACGGTAATGGGTTTGTGCATGTGCCCACCTGAACAGCCAGACAGGACCTCATCAATGATTCCGTGGCACTGACAATCCCCCGGACAAAATTGCTCACTCACTCCATGGCTGTTTGTGGTAAGTTGCTGTGCCCAAATTGGCTGCCACGCTTCACTCACAAAACTAAGTCGCTTCACTTTACAGTGTATCCTGTGAAGCGCTTTGAGACGTCTCGAAGATGGGGTAAGGCGCTACCTCAAATGCAAGGATGAAATGCAAGAATTATTATGATTACTATTCACCGTTACCTCTCCATGTTTTACTGCTGATTTGGCAAACCTCTGCTGCAGGCTGACGTCAAAGTCCGGATCCGTCCAGTAAAACAGGACCTCAGCACTCTCGCTGGCGATGAGGAGGCACTTCATCACCTCGGCCCCAGATTCCCCTCCTCACCTCACCCCAAACAGCCCCTCATCCAGCTCCGCACACCCGTAAACTGCGGTTAGACATCGCTCAAGGCTCTGGATCAAAAGCAAGGATTGTCATCGTTAATAATGTGGGGAGACCCTGACACACAGCCCCTGGGGGGTGGGGGAGACCCTGACACACAGCCCCTGGGGGGGGGTGGGGGAGACCCTGACACACAGCCCCTGGGGGTGGGGGAGACCCTGACACACAGCCCCTGGGGGGGGGTGGGGGAGACCCTGACACACAGCCCCTAGGGGGAGACCCTGACACACAGCCCCTGGGGGGGGAGTGGGGGAGACCCTGACACACAGCCCCTAGGGGGGGGTGGGGGAGACCCTGACACACAGCCCCTGGGGGTGGGGGAGACCCTGACACACAGCCCCTGGGGGGGGGGGGGGAGACCCTGACACACAGCCCCTGGGGGGGGGGGAGGGGAGACCCTGACACACAGCCCCTGGGGGGTGGGGGAGACCCTGAATACAGCCCCTGGGGGGTGGGGGTGGGGGAGACCCTGACACAACAGCCCCTGGGGGGTGGGGGAGACCCTGACACACAGCCCCTGGGGGGGGGGTGGGGGAGACCCTGACACACAGCCCCTGGGGGGTGGGGGAGACCCTGACACACAGCCCCTAGGGGGGGGGTGGGGGAGACCCTGACACACAGCCCCTGGGGGGTGGGGGAGACCCTGATATACAGCCCCTGGGGGGTGGGGGAGACCCTGACACACAGCCCCTGGGGGGGGGGGTGGGGGAGACCTTGAACACAGCCCCTGGGGGTAAGGGGTGGGGGGGGGGTGGGGGGAGGGGGGAAGGGGTGGGGAGGGGAGTGGGTTGGGGGGAGGGGGGAGGGGTGGGGGAGGGGAGGGGGGTGGGGAGGGGAGGGGTGGGGTGGGTGGGGGGGGGGGGAAGTGGGGGAGTGGGTGGGGGAGGGGGGAGGGGGGGGGGGAGGGGTGGGGGAGGGAGAGGGGTGGGGGAGGGTGTGGGGGGGGGGGGAGGGGTGGGGGCGGGGGGGAGGGGTGGGGTAGTGGGGGGAGGGGGGGGGGGAGGGTGGGTGG